CTTATAAAATGTTCAGTCAGAGTTCTAAAATTAGAATATCAATAAAAAAAATTAAAATGATAAACCGTGTTGTAACTAATTTGAAAATAATAACTAAAAGTTTTAAATATAATTATTATACAGCTATAATAATACATAACTTATGTCACAGGTGTGTGTTATAAGTGTAATTACAAGCAACATAAATAATAATTTATATATATATATATGTAGAAACATATTTATAGGTATTTGGTTAGTTTATTTTTACTTTTATCTCTTGATATAAAAAGAATAAAATGTTACAAACCTTTTCTAACGCTTAATGAATTTGTATATAAAAGAAAATGTCACTGAATAAAGTTAAAAATAAAACAAATTGCAAACACTCATACTATAGTGTGTCATAATGTTTGGAGTACCTATATAAAAATATAAATAAATAAACCACTAAAATAAACGAAGGTTATAACATAGATTTAAAATCAATAAAAACGTCTTTTAGAATTTATAGTCATCAACAAATGGTTAAGGCATATAATGCTGTTATACAGGAGTATGTGTTTACTAAGGAAATATTGTAATTAAATCGAAATAGACAAGGACGTCGTGAGCAATTATTATTTTTCTTTATATCGCAAAATTCTAATATTTAGATTTAACGAATATGAATTGTGATCATAATTACTTACATTGGCTCTACACTGTAGAATCTACAGCACTATAATATATTATATTATAATATAAAAGTTAGATGAAAACTGGCAAAAGAAACTATAAAAAGAACTTTTGTTTACTGACCTACATTATCATTGTTCTGTTTTGTATTAATCTTATCTGTGTACATATTGGTGAATAGCGATTTCTCGGGAAATATTACCGTGACTTGTGTCATTCAAACAAGGAGCATAACATAATACATTAGTACACTAAATACAGATTCCTTCAAATTGATTCACTGCGTTGGGTCGAAAAGTATGTTAACAAATCCCGGGTGAAATAATAATAATATCAAACATGATGATTGAATTACAATTATCGTTTGAATTCACTGTCACGAACTTAGCCTTTTAACTCCAACTAAATTGATTTTTCGTAACCATAAGTGTTGTTTTTACCAAAGTATTCGACAATTAATTTCTAAAACAAAATCAAAATTATTTGGTGACATTTTTAGATAAAACAATATTTTTTTCCGGTCTGATTGGCATTGCATTCGATTACATGTATAAATCATGACGTCAGCGTTGTGGACGGTCCTTGAAGGTCAGTTTATTACAATCTTGGATCAGTATTATATCAACTGACCACACATTTCTATTAAGTGCTCATTAATACGACTTCATATAGAGATATGAAGATATATTGTATAATTTTCTATACACCAAACACATAATATACATACTTATTCGTTATACGTAATTCATTGTGTATTTTTTGTATGTTTACATGAAATACCTATTGAAGTATTTTATTGTGATATAAGAGTTCGTTTTCGAAGTCCAACTGTTTTATGTCTGATAATTAGTAATCTACCCATATGTCTATTTGTTAAGGATTTCACATAAATTATTGAGTCACCGAACTGGCATTGGTGTACTTAAATGTTATTTGCTTTTACGTAAATGTATTAGAACTAATGATGGTTTGACTATGTGTTTGACTTAAAAATAAAGTAAAGAAAAAATAGCAATCTAAATACTTATCAACAAAGAATATTATTTTCTGTTTCAGTGGCGTATACAAAGGGAGATAGGGGTCAGATCCCTCCTAGGTCTTTTTTTAAATTTTATAAAATAATGTTCTTAGTGTGTGAGGGTGTTAGAAGTGTAAAAAAAATAATGATTTGTTTGTAAATGATCTACTAATCATAAATGTTATGTATATGCCACTGCTTTGTTTAGAAATCTAAATAACACATTTTAACGTCTAAAAACGGTGAAAATAGATTTGCTATGCCTGTGAAATATATTAAAGATGGAAATACGCGAAAAGTATATACGTTAGTGGTTATCTATATGAAAAAAAAATACCATCAGTTTTCTCTACCTGTAAGACACTGCGGAACATGTTAAAATATTGAACTCTTGGTTGTAGTAAAAATTCTGTATGAATAACTGAACGTTGTTAAAAAATATTATATCAGCGTTTAAATCAAAATAATTAACAGCTGTTATCAAATTCAATGAAAATAACATAAGTTAGGGTTAAGTTTTTAAAATTGAGATTTTTATAATAAAATATTGGTGGTAAAAAAAAAAAAATTAAAGTAAATGAAGGATATTCTTAAATATAAGAAATAAAGTTATTAAGTTGCACAACAGATTTACATTTCCAAAAATATACCAATGACTCACGGTTACATGAAATAAAAAATAAAATTTTGTAATATTACACGCACAAGGTACAGTTTGTTTGATGTTATCTACACGTAGATAACCAAAAGTTATTTATATTGATCCGGGCTATATATATATTATATGTTTTTGTTGGTGTGTATACATTCTTAATTTCGATTCTATCGGAATTATAGTTTCGAATAGATTCATTATTATACAATCATATACAAATCATGTTGTAGTGAACTAGTACTAAGTATGTGTTATATTTTTAATTATATCTCCCACACAACAAATCCTATTGCATATGGTTTTGTTTTGTTATCCTCTTTAACCTTTCACTTACGTTCACTTTTTTCTGTCTTTCAGTTCTTTAGTGTCTTCCGTTATCTGATGACATACTGATCTTATGCATCCGCACACGACATAAACTGATTTTAATCGAAATCGATGTCACTTTGGCTCTCTTTGTTATTCTTTAAATTTAGTATAGCTATAAGCGATTTTAAATTGAATGTTTCATCAAGTGAATAAGGTTGAATTATTGGTAAATTTCAAAAAGTGTTTGTTTTATAGTAATTACAAGAATTTGTAATACCATGTACTGAATTGTTTTGCAGAATAAATTTTAAATAAAATAAATTATTATGACGATTTGGATAAGTCCGAATAAATACATTCAAGTTACAACAGGTTTAGGTCATGACCCTTTTAACGAGAATTGACCTTCATGAGTGGCTGAAAAATGAGCTGCTGTGATTACCAAAGCGAGAACCTCATTTTGTGTCGAAACTACTGATAACAGATCACTGGCAGACTTTTTTCGCATAGTAAATACAATTTATGGAATAGCATTGAACTTAAATAAATTCAATCTATTTTGATAAAGACTTGTATTTAATGTATGATATTTTATAACATCTAGAAAAATTGTAATTATTGTGGTCGCTGAAGTAAAACGTACAATATTCAACGAGTTATAATATATATCGCATATATTATTATTAACCATAAATTATAATATTCTTTAATGGATCTTTTCACCTAAAATTAATTAGAAGGAATTTCCAATCATTATCATTAACGATTTGTTTTAAAAGAGAATTCCCAATAAAATATGTGTACCTATAATATTTGACTATTGTTATTGAATGCATCATTTCAAGCAAACCTTGACACCGATTATTAGCTTATCGGTTTCCGGTGATGAGAGCATAATATTGTCAACTGCAAAATTTGACTTTATCTTATCGATCTTATCGGTGAAAAATAAATGGATGTTACAAATTGCATGCAAATCGTATGGCTATGTCGTACAGGTTCGTGTTTGATTTAATATTCAGCTCTCTAGTTTAAAGGAAAATTATGTTTTTACTATAATTCATCAATACCGAGAAATTTCGAATAATTATTTTAATTTACGAATAATTAAATAAGTACCAAGGAACAATATTATAGTTGTGCGCGACGAGAATAAAAATCACAGAATTTTGAATATTTAGGTATAAAATTCAGTTTTCGTTGAAATACGTTCACTGTGAGTGGTGATCGCTGTTTATAGTCATTTTACCCAGGATCATAATTAACTTATCGCGTTAATCATAAAAAGAATAATACATAATGCGCATGTGCAAGTACGGTACAAATATTGTGAGAAACGATTACGATGTGTTTGAGCCGTGAACATTAATGTATAGGCAAATCAGTATACTGATGTGCACTAGGATTTTCGTAGACGAGCGGCGAAAACTTTAAATCGTACGTCTTTTCCCCCTTCTCTCTCCCTCCACCGAGAACACCATCACCTCGGACGGTTCCCAATTGGCCTGTGTCGACGTGTCGGACGAGCAGAAACGACGAAACGTTATTATTTTTTTGCGACCGGTTCGCATGCGTACAGGAAACTCGTACGCGATTCGCACGTGAATTAGTATTTTTGGTATCGATCGACGAGCGAGCGCGAAAAAGGAGAAGAAAAAAATAAAAGTCGAACGTCTTGAAAACAGGAAAAAAACGATCAGGTCTCACGGCCGACACCCCGAAACCAGCTTTCCCGAGGGCCGGTGGCGGTGGTGGGGGCGCGCTCGTCGTCCGTGGCGTAACAAACCGGTATCGGCGCGCGGTGGTCGTCCCCCTTTCGGACGCGCTGTCGATTTCTTCTTCCGTTGCGTAACGTCGTGCGCTCGAACACGTACACACCGCGTGAGGCGGTGAGAGCATTGCCACAAGAAAAATACGAAAAAATTAATAAATTCCAAAGATTTTCACGCGAAACGAGGAGGATAATAACGCGAGTAAAGACTATAACGCACCCGGGACTCACCGCTACGATTATGATTTTAATAATAATAGTAATACGGTGTTCGAAACGGTTGCCGATGATCATTGCCGTGACGTGGTCGCGTAGACTTGAACGATCGCGGCGATCAGGGCGTCACGCCGCAGCACACAAACGCGAAAAGTAATCGTTCTAGAGAACAATCGCGACGTTCAAAGCGCGGTCCGGCGGGACGACCACGGTAAATACGTCTAGGCGCCGGTAAAAAAATCGTGTAACCCGCAATCGGCTTCCGGCCAGGGGCTCCGCGAAAACGTTTACGAGAACCGTGTTGCCCGCACGACGGTCAGATCGATCGATCGTCCGGCGACCGTCGGGCACGTTCCAAAGGGCGCATTACTCACGTCAGGCTAGAGCTCCAGCTGAACAGCTTGCGTATCTTGTCCTTGTCGTCCATGCCGGCGATCTCGGGGAAGAACTTTGACGGTTGCGCGCGCACTCGACGGGTTGTTGGTCGCGCGCGAAAATCCGTTTTACCGCGGTCGGTTTTCGAAAAAACGACGGAACCACTCGTAAGCTCGCGCGTAGAAACGCACTGACCGGTGTGTTGTTGGTGTGTCGCGTGCTTGCGGCGCGCTGGGCGTTTGGCGTGTACGGTTAACGTTCTCCTCGGACGGCAGTCACACGAGTGTCAGCGACGCGACAGTAGTGAAACGATTTGACGCGCGCGGGCACAGCGGGGCCGGTTCGCTGCGGTCCGTGCCGGAAGAATAATAATAACGACAACGTCCGTAACACAATAAACGCGTGTGCACCGTGCGAACGTCCGTGTACTGGTGGTGCGCGTTACGACGGCAGGTCGCGCGGGCCCAGCTCGTTTTCACTCGTTAGCGGCTTCCAACGATCCGGAATCGTCGCCGCGGTGGTGGCACTCTTGCGCGCACGTACGTCCGGGGAAGGTCGACCGGGTGTACCGGTTCACGTGCGCGACACATTCCTGCCGCGCGACGCGTTCCACGATGGTCGTCCTCCTGCGCCTCCGTTCGCTTTTTACCACCCGTTAGGTATTACTACCATCGTTATGTTATTATCGTTACGATTATTCGTACTTCGCGTTCTTTCTATCACTTTTTTTTTTTTTTTTTTTTATCGTACATAATTTTGTATAACGTGCACCAGCCACCGGCGGATCCGCCTAAAACTTTCAATGATTTCGATTTTTAGTGTTGTTTTCCAAACGATTGTTTCCAAACACTAAGTTTATCAATTTTATTTTTTTGTGTGCAATTTCGGCATGGTAGTCGCGGAACAGCTGAATTTTACGTACCGGTGTACTTTTCATAAACTTATTTGTATAAAAACAAAGGTTTTTTTCAAACTCTGCGGAAATGTAATCATAATTAAAAACGTGGGTTTTTGGAAGAAGTTTACACACGAATTTCAGTAATTCCAGTTGTCGGTGCTAAAACTAAATAGAGTTTTTCAATAATGAAAATAACAAAAACCTACAACAGATAAACTACGACGATTACACAACCCAGAACTGACATACGTCGAAAAATAGAAAAGAAAAGAAAAAGAATTGATGAAGAAATCCCAACAAAATTCTGATTGAATTTGCACGTGATAAATCGATAAAATAGCATTTTTCAATACAAATGTATACATTTTACTAGTATTAACGACTGTATAAAATAAATGCGTTTTAAAATAAATATGTAAATAAAAATTAATTTGTATTTTTTTTGGGGGATTATATTTGTGGGCTCATCTAAAATAATATTCCTGAATCAAACGCCTGATACACGTTTACTTTACTACCAAAGACTCATGATCGGACACGAGCGAATGGTTTCATTTTTTCTTTTTTTTTACAACGTATTACTGCTCCGCGTGTAATAACAATTATAGTCGTGAGTTAGGTTCGGGCAAAATCTCTTCGTACATGGCTGATCACGACGAATCCGCACATTCGCTCCGGTACAACAGAAAATACGGTATCGTCCGACCGACCGAATAGATGGACATCGTACAGCGCCGTCTCGGGGCCGACCCGGAAGCACGCGCATGCCCATCAGCGATAAATTATTCAAATCGCTGATCGTTTACGATTTCTGGCAAACCTTGGACGTTTTAGGTCTTTAATATTAATTAGTGTTCGTGTTACAGTATCAAACTACATGATACGATCGTGTTCCTCATGATAAATACGCTGTGACCTAACCCCACGGTTATAGCTGCTGCTGTTTCTTCAATAAACGTATACGAATGTGCTGCTAGGCGCGTGCACATAGATAAATTCGAATTGTACAGCAAATCATCACAACCATTCCGTATATACCGTCTTGCCGTCGGAACATTGGTCATGGTATTGAAAATGCGACAGTACGAGTATATTCAAATTCGTACTTGTTTTCGATTTACGCTTACAACACTCATCACTTGGAGTCTAGATTGCCTTACGGAAAAACGTGTTTAAAAAAAACCCGACCGCTGGGATTTATGTTGTGTTACGGTGAGGTTTGAAATAGTAGTAACCGATGTAACGGTGAATTGAAAGCAATTGAAAAAATAATGTCGATACAAGACTATTACGTAATAGCGCATCCATAACATTTTAGAAAACTTACCGTCTCTAGAGAATCGAACTATTTTAATGATTAATTTTAGACTGACAGCAAAACATAGATACAGAGAAAATAATATTACATCAAATTTTAGGTTTTAAGTTGATGGTTCGAAAATAATATTAATATAGGTAAAAAATTAATATTTTATGAAACTCTATTAACAACATTCTTCAACCATTCTTACTCATCGTTAGATTTTTTCATATTTGTGAGCTGTGTTATAATATTTTACGACATTAATATAAAAACCACGTTAAAATTGCTTAAAAATATAAAAAAAAACTCAACCGTGAAATTATTTGAGACAAAATCGTAAACAAATATTGGTTCAGAAAATGCATTTTGCATTCAATACATTTTATTTAAATGAATCTATTTGGAACTCTTTTCACGTTTCAACGTTGGTTATTCGTCATCGGTTAAACAATTATTATAATTCATAGCAGATCATAGAATGCTTTATTTCATAATTGGATCGAAAATAAAAAAAAATAAAAAGAGCACCTACGTTAAGATGCATGTTTTTAATTATTCGTATAATTGATAATAATTGAATTACCATGCAAAACGATAACGCGGTCTAAATGGAACGCGACAATAATGATTTACAGAAATGAAACTTGTCACTCTCCTCTCGAAAACGTTTTTGCTAATAATCTACTTCAGACATGTAAATTTGTACCTACCTCGTGTACGGTAATTGGTGAACCATTACGGATCGTCGAGTGCGTACTAAGACGCGCGCGGACACGGAGAAAGGACGTCGAAACCAACGAAATCGAAAAACCCGAAAACTCTTGGGGCGAGTAATAATATTGATTTCGGTATCGTTCCACCGGTGAAACGGTCGTAAAACGGCGCGGATGAATGACAACAATGTCATCGAACGTTGCACCGGAAAAATCGAGTACAGTTTTGTGCACGGGGTGTTACGATTGACGAATCACTAGGAAAAACGTCTCGTCGTCATGTTCCGACGAGACTGACGTTCAAGAATTCTCGGATTCTCGCCCGTGGTCGTCGTCGGTGACAATCGCGCGGCGGTCTTATCATCGTTTTCTCGCGACCGCGTCCGTGTCAATCGCGTCCGAGCTGACAATCGCGTCTCGCGAGCAGATAAACCCGCCCGCGGTGTTGACCCGTTGGCCGGTCTCGTACGCGCGACAGATTCGACCACACTCGGTAATTCGTCCGCGAACGAGATTACCACACCGCGGCGTTGTTGAAATTACGCCAGACCGATAAGCCGGTGACGAGCAACACGCGTCCGTCCAGGCGTCTCACGAACCCAGGTACATTTTATTATATAGAAAAATAAATAGATAAGTAATTCCTAAATATTTCCACCCGGCGGCGGATGATCGTATCCCGGCCGCACCGCGGTTTGATTCAACCGTAATCGAGCCGTTTCGTACGCATCACGTGTCCACGGTGAAGTGGACCAGTTTTTTGGTGTGTTTCTTGAGTACCGTACACCTTTGTTTTTCCGATGCGCAGGTTCCCGGTGTCTCCGTATCCGAGGGGTGAACAAATCCATTTTTTCGTTATTAAAGTTTCGAAGTAGCGAATAATATTTTATATTATTATCGTTATTTAGAGGCGTACAATAAAACGCGTTACTTGGTGCACGCGCACATCAGGTACCACGAGTAAAGATGAACTAATATCGATAAACACCGGCGATAGGCCGGCTATATAGTTTTCTCATTCCCTACACCGAAGACATCGGTATTCGAATCGTTTCACATTTTTCACGCGCAGTTTGAAATCCGAACGGTTCCGTGAAGTTACGGTTTTGGGGCTGTGTTACATCGAAAAGAAAAAAAATTACACAAACATTTAACGAATGGTTAAAATATTTACAAGAGAAAAAAAATGATATTCCCGTTTATTGTTAACACCATTGGATTCCTATATTTCGGCGGAGAGGTAAACATTATCTAAGTTTTAGTGAATATAGTCTTATAGTATTCAATGCTTGTTTCCCGAAAAATCAGGATTCTTATTTTTGAAAAAGGATAATCCACGCGTGCAAAAGGTTTAAAAAAAATCATCCTGTACATTATTGTAAGTCGCGTCAACAATCACTACACGTTTCGTTTACGGCCACTATTTTCGTATTGTCCCCTACCGACCCACGTGTATTCGTTATCAGTTACTTGAGCGCTGCTCACCAATGTAATCGTTGTCATTATGGCACACGCGCGTATGTGCACGTATCGTGAAGCGTAGTCGTCAGAGCTATTCAAACCGAGAAAGTCTACAATGTACCATAAAATACAACGATCGCTTCGCGGAGGTTAATGTTCTCCGATGATTGTGCACGTTTGGGCTCTGAGATAACTTCCGTAACGTCACCAGCTAATTAGTCAGCATCATTTCCCTGGCACTTCGTAATTTTAAACTTTAATCAGGCCGTTTGTTTGTGCTTCGTTTTCGATGCACCTATTCCCGACGTTTGTGCTTTCACCGTTCCCGAGATTTTCAAATTTTGCCGCCGGGGTGCCAAGGACATGCTCAGCACTTCCACCGCAGCATTTCGAAAATCAAATTCAACTATTCGTTTGTTCACTTTTTTTTTTTGCGCGGACTAGTGAATTCTCCGTAATTTGGTACAAATTTAATTTAAAACAATAAGTTATTGTTTTTGTTACAACCAACTACTTTTATTGCTATTGTTATTTTTTGTGCCTCATTTGTTATGAAAAAACTATTCTCGGTAAATTGATACAATTTAAATGTTTGAAAAAATTCAGAAAAGTAAACTTTGTGGTACCAATGAAACGGATCTATCTATCTTTGATTCTTATTAATAATAAATCATTAATATTAAGTCATGTTTTGAATTATGAACAAACTAAGATTTATCTATCGTCATAAAGTTGATAGTTATGCATTATTTATATTATTACATTATACGGTATTCTCAGCTTATACGTAAATGATAAATCTAATAATATTAACTATTCTAAATCCTTTATTTTATATTTTATGCTCTACTGTAATTGATTGAATTTTTATGAATTTCAATTACATCTGAATCAACTATGAAGATTCTTAATAATTGCGTAGGACATATTTATGGCCAAAAATAAATTGTTTTGGATATTAATAACTAAAAATTACACTTTTTTAAATCATCATACACATTGTAGGTATATTTTTCCTAGTATAATATATTTTAAACAAGTATGAGATAAAATATAAAACTGTAAAAAA